GTTATATATATATATATATAAAGAGAATGATATAAATTAGTATTTTTTTTAAACAAACCGGCCTCCTTCCTCCTCCTCCCTTTCCGCCATGCTTCTTCGCTTTCTGCGCTTCAAATCCTCCCCCCGTCTCCTCTACTCAACCACCACCGAATCCCCAACTCCTCGCCCTCAACTCTCGCCACTCGTCACCGATCCCACCCTCACCCTCTACTTCCTCCAGAAATCCTGCAATCTCTCTCCGTCCGCTGCCGCCGCCGCCGCCAAAGAAATCAACCTCAAATCCACAAAAAAACCCCACTCCGTCCTCTCCCTCCTCCGCCGTCTCCTCTACTCAACCACCACCGAATCCCCAACTCCTCGCCCTCAACTCTCGCCACTCGTCACCGATCCCACCCTCACCCTCTACTTCCTCCAGAAATCCTGCAATCTCTCTCCGTCCGCTGCCGCCGCCGCCGCCAAAGAAATCAACCTCAAATCCACAAAAAAACCCCACTCCGTCCTCTCCCTCCTCCGTAACTACGGCTTCTCCGACTCCCAAATCACTCGCCTAATTTCCCGCCGCCCCAAACTCCTCCTCGCCTGCCCCACCCGCACCCTCAAACCTAAGCTAGACTTCTACGCTTCTATCGGCCTCACAAATGACGACTTTTCTGATCAATTCTGCACTCAAGCTCGCCTGTTCCTTCCCAGCATTAAAAATCGCCTCGCCCCCAACCTTCGTCTCCTTCGTCTTCTCTTCCCTTCCGACGCCGACCTCGTTGCTGCTGTTCGCCGTCACCCCGACATCATTCTCTCCGATTTGCAAAAGATAGTGCCCGATAAGACCAAGCCTTTGCTCGATTACGGGATTCCTATGGATGGTATCATAAAGTTGATTGCTCTGCACCCAAGGTGTTTGAGAGAATGTCCCAGCAAGTTTGATTCGTGTTTCGCGGCTGTGAAAGAGCTGGGTATCAATCCGTCAAGCTCGAGCTTTGTTCACGCCTTCGCGGTGATTTCTAACGTGCCGAAGCCTATTTGGAAAAGCAGGGTGCATAATTTTGTGAGCTTGGGCTGGTCGATGGATCAGATTACTGGCGCATTTATCAGGCATCCTTACTGCATGTCTTCGTCGGAGGAGAAGGTGAGGAGGAATTCGAAGTTCTTTGAAGAAAAGCTCGGTTGGGGGCCGGCTAAGTTGTCTGGTTCTCCGGTGCTTTTGTCTCTGAGTTTTGAAAAGAGGATAGCACCGAGGTTTCGTATGTTTAAGCTTCTTGATGAGAGGGGGTTGTTGAGGTATGGCCTGACCTGCCGCCATTTTTTATTGGGGGAGAAGAGATTTAGGAACAAGTATGTGGACAAGTATCAGGAAATTGTTCCTGAGATCTTGGAAGCTGTTAGTGGAAAGTTAGGATCTTTGTCTTCGGAGATAGGAGGAGAAATAGAGTGTTAATTGTTCCCACCACTCAGGCTATTGGGGGAGAAGAGATTTAGGAAGATGTTTGTGGACAAGTATCAGGAAATTGTTACTGAGATCTTGGAAGCTGTTAGTGGAAAGTTAGGATCTTTGTCTTCGGAGATGGAGGAGAAATAGAGTGTTAATTGTTCCCACCACTCAGGCTGAAATCTCTTGCATCAATAGAATTTTGGTTATCTCTATTCTTCAACAAGGGAACAAAATGTTATGTTATGGAATATTAAGGAAGGTTTTCTAAGCCAAAAATTTCATTTATTGTACTCTCCCGGATCTCCATTTGACAAAAATTACTTGACCCAAAGGGATTAAAAAGAAAGGATGTACAGTAACAAACTATTTGGAGGGAAGCATTTTCTTCTAGCTTTCTCCCAGACCCATATGCCGATCAGGAAGACTCACGAATCCTTGTTTACAATATTTGAATAAAAAGAAATAGAAGATTACATGCATCCATATTTTCTTATATGGCTAACATTTTATGAAGGATCAAACAGTACTGTCCAAAAGATGATCAAGAAATGGAGTTTGAAAGCGCAGACCTTCGATCTACTTCATGAATGATTCATCAATGCCGCCTCTTTTCTTCTGCAGTTACTTGACTGATGTTGGAGGGGTGTGCTCTGATGATGGATTTTTTTGGGTCTTAAATCATCTGCTGTGTTGGTTTTTGGTCTGAATTTTACTCTTTTTGAGCACGGAGTTTTTTTTTCTTCTTTGTCCCTCTTGTGTGTTGCAAAATTATTACGTGCATTCACAAGAAGATAGCATTTGGATGTCAATTAGGATGTGTCAAATCACCAATACACTGTGTTCCGTTACTATATATCATGTGTATCAGGTGATGTGATTTGCCCTGATTGATCTCCGGACGGTCCGATGACTATACGTAATAATCTCTCGTGTGAACTTGGGCAGGTGTACTCCACTCTCTTTGGACATGAGATTCTCATTTCAAGGACATAAGATTCTAGAAAATTTTGTGCCAAATGTCCTGATAAAAAATAATTAGAACGTGGTTTAAAACATTTTAAAATTTCACGTGCTCCCTCATGCAGTTCTAATTGATGTGCAGGAGAAGGCCATGCAAAGCGGTTCTAATTTGTTAAGTTCTACCTAGGTTGTCAAAATCAGGTCACAGGTAGGATTTAGGTTCAATTCATGAACTTGAACCTGATTTGCTGCAGATCTGGATCAATCCAACACGACCCGCTAGGCACAAACCAGAAAGTCAAATTCGATCTCCACGCCTTCTTTCTATCTCTGATGACTTCGTTGTCGTCTTCCTCGAGGGTGGTGCCACCACCCAGTTCGCTGTCGTTCCCCTTAACCTCAGCAAGCTCAATGACCCTGCTGACTCCCGGATCTCGTCCTTTGATGAGATCACGGCAAAACCCACCCAGCTGCTAGATGACTCCATATTTGCGGGAATGAGACAATCCATGAGGTTGAGTACAATGATTACCCCAAACACAAGAACAAGAACCGATTTTGGTCGACGACATGTCATCAAATTTTTGCTCTAAGCCTGTAGATGTCACAAAGTTTGGCTTGATTTATGCTGGGGTTGTCATCGTCCGACGAGATCTAATTGGAGATCCGAAGCCAATCACAATCACCCCTGTAATGGTTGATTACAAGATCCACGTTGATAATATTTCGCTCTACAACACTGCGATATTGCAAGATCACGGCCTGCCGTTCTCTTCTTTGCATCCTGTCATTTTGCCTGAGGTTAGTCCGGGTCAACTTGGGGTTAGCGTGCTAATTCGGACCCGACCCATTTTTTCAAACAGTTCGAATCCTGGAATCCGAACCAGACTCGTTAACTATAAACCTGAATTTTCTTGTCGGATTCGAGTCGAATTTTTAGGTCGTGTCAAATATTGACACCTTGGGTGGATTCAGGGAGAACGACATCACTGGCTTGAGGCCGCCCATGTTGACTTTTTGGGGGTTGGTCGACTCTCTAAACTTCGTAGGGTGTGGCCTACTATATCATGGTTAGTCATACAAGTGAATTGTTGAGATTGATTTATGTTGGTTATAGTGTATTCCTTGGCACGAATGATAGTGCATGCAATGAGATATGTCGCAAAATAATGAAATTTTATGTGGAATTGAGTATGTCAATATTTCATGCATAATATATTGATTCATTGGAACCTTATTTTGCATAAAATTTTTATCAGGACCTCATTTTGCAAAATATACGACCTGCAAGAATTGGGACGCAATGAGAGAGTTATTATTATTATTAATGAGCTCTCACCTAAAAGAATGTTTCAAGGCGTGCAAAATCTTCAACAAAAATACTATGGTATGCATAGAGAATCGCATTTAAAAAGATTAAGAGGATTTATAATCAATTTACAGTAACAATATTTGCTCAAATATCAAATGATGACAAAGTAATGGAAGTTTGGTATGAGTTAGAAACAATTGAGAAATTACTTATTTCATCATAAAATTAAATAAGTTAAAATGCAACAAAATCATGTTAAATTGAGAGAATTATGACTAAAATGATAAACAATACAGGAAAAAAAAAAAGTTGTCGGGAAGAGTATAAAATCCTAAATTTTAAGTCTTTAGTAGGATGGTATGAATACAAACTATAATAAAATTTAAAGTGTGTTCATTGAAAATGATAAGATCACATCATAAGAACTTACAGAATTATATATATCTATTCAAAGAAATAAATTTTTTTAAGAGTCATTTTAAATCAAATTTGAAAATCATCTTTGCCAAAAGATGTATATTGTTACGTTTTAATTATATTAAATTTTTTGTAATTTTTAGACAAGGGTGAAAATCCTTAAAAAAATGACACATGTCATTACAAGTCGGGATTTTGAAACCGTGAGGTGTACGTTTTTTACTAGTTACTATTATTTTTCTAAATAAAACGAACTATTTTATGAGTAATTTAGAAGAAATATATTAAATTTTTACTTGTTAAATTGATAATTATGATTTTTTTAATTTAATACATAGTTACAAATTTAATAGATTTTTCTATATTTATACAATTCTATATTTTGTACATGATATTAATTTATATTACATAAAAAAAAAATAACATTTGCATGTAAGAAATGAAGACTTGTTGTTAATAGTATAATGAATACATATTGACTCTTTAAGTATAATACCCTGCATAAGAATTAAGAAGATGGGACGACGCGACGACGGCTTTTCTTTTAAATAAAAGGTTGGTGTAATCCTAATTGTAGCATGTAACCGATTAACTAAATTACACCTATGATTAGAAGGTGACGATTCTTAAATGATTATTTAAAGCCATATATGAAAATAAATGATTAAAACAAATAAATAAAATATGTTATGAGATTAACAAATTGATGGCTATGACATATAACAAATGTATGGAAGAAAAACTACTTTTAAAGTTGGATTGTTCTCTCTTACTTTACATTAATTAATTGATAGATATAATCAAAATTGTACTACATTAATTTTGATACAACATAATATAACATAACATAATATAACATGCTAGCATAATTTATTTTTAATATTATTTTTTTAGATTTTAATTGTTATATTAAATAATAATAATGATTAATATTGACTATAATTAAACATATATATTAATAATTTTGTCTAGAAAACAGAGATAATTTTGATTATATGTTAAACTTTTTAACTTATTATATAAATTTTTATGACTTTAGATCATAGAAAGGGTCAGGACTAGTTATAGTAAAGTAGACCTTCATACAAAGCCGCAAATACTCTAGGATGCAACAAATGCAGTTTTAAAATATAAAGAATAAAATAAATGAACAACAAAATTTAAAAGATGATGCCAAAACAGAGAAGCAATATCATCTATCCCTCGCATAGGAGTATCCTACTCGTCCAAAGACTCTTCCATGCAACCTAACCAATTATACAAAAGCTAAAAATAGCATCACGTCTTTACCGTTTTTAAGCATATGAAAAGCAAACAAACAATATAGATTGGTTTATTAAAACATTTAAATGTTACATACAAAAAGAAATACTTAAACAACCAAAAGAAACTTTCTTAATACTTTATAAACAGCTTCTAGGTTTAAAAAAAAAAATCGAAATAAAATATTTTACATTAGAAAACAATTTTAAAAAGCAACGAAAAAGCCAATCACAAATAAAACATAAGACTCTTTTTCATCAAACTTAGGCAAAAGTAATTCTATCAGAAATTGTACAAAACCATGTCATTCACAATGCTTAATTTTGAAGATTTAGTTTCAACATTTCCCGTTAAGTTCATCCGTAAGTTTAAGACAGTGCTAAACATCATAAGATCTATCTGATAGCAAAACTACTAGCTAAAAATACAGTAACTCAACGAGTCCAAAAAATAAGCTACTGTACTAGATAGAAGTCATTAGCAGAATAAACTAGTTTCGTGACAACTAACTGATGAGATAAAGCTGTTCATTACCCCCACTGTGCGGGCCGAAGGGTAAGTAAGTCGAGATTGTTCCAAACAAAATACAACTAAAACAATCTCCTGCACAAGTTCCTGAGAAACGTGCCAAAGCACGCATCAAATTATAGGTGGCAACTGAAGTAATGTGAACCGCGCTCTTCCTAGCAAAAGAACATTGAACTCCTAACATTCTCATGGAGGCGTGGGAGTTCAGGTACGGGCGCCGCACCAGCGGCAGTCATCCCCCCTTGGCTCGAAGATGTTTCAGACTTGTCCTCGAATTTCATGAATTGGCCAACTTGCGCTGCCGCAAGATGGGCGTAACATATGGGCGCCACTGATTAAAAGAAATGCACAAAAGTATTAGTAGAAGATATTAATCATCAGCATCATCAATATTATTATATAATTGATATAGAAACACAGAATATCCATTAAGATATTGCTCCTATGATATGTTATATTTAGCAGGAACCTTCATCTGAGGTATTTGACCAGCATCTGCTGCCATAAATTACTTTACAAAGCAATTTCAAAATAGAACGTTTAGGCTCTTTCCATATGAAAGTGATTGCAACTATTTCCAATGCTCAACTGGGGGAAGAATCTCTCGATCAAAAGGAACTTGAAGAAGGTTTCTTTTACTTAAAAGCTTATTACTTTCTGTGCAAGCTCTATCTAGATTGTTATGGGAGAATGTTAACTGTAATCTTTTCTTTGCAATGAGAAGTCTAGAGTTAACTCTACACTACACTTAAAGTAAACTTGCTGACTTAAATGGCTGCATCTTCAGCATATTTTTCATTGACCTGCCTAACCCTGGGACTGTTCTTTTTACCTGGCTCAACAATCAACTTGACAAATTACTCGCTTCCTCTTATAAAGTCCTTTAGTTAACATAATGGCATATCGATCATTGATAAATTGTCTTTCAGCATTTAATTGAGTATTAGATAGGTCATTCTCCAATACTCAATCAAATGCTGAAGGAAAATGTATCAAATGATAATACACAATTATATATCATTGTAAAAGCATGTGAGTGGAATACAAGGCTAAATTCCTATATAATTCCATCAAGGAATTGAGGAATGCTAACACCATTAAAGAGCTTTCCACTCCCTCTGATTTAGTTACCCTCCCAAGTTATCAAGGCTAGGGAAATTTCAAACTTCTTCTACTCCCATTTTAACAATGGCAAACAAGCTTCAATATTGATTTTGGATATTCCAATTGTAAATACAATCCCTTCAACTTTGGATTTGAGTCTGATGGACCCAATCCTTGAAGTTTAAATCATGAACTCTTTATATGGTGTCTGAGCCGACAAATCTCAATGGCTAGATGGCTTTGATTCAAAAAATTTCACTCATGCTTGAAATAATGGTACGCCTCTATTCATCCATGTTGCCCATCACTTATTTAGCTCTAGCTTGATGCTAGAAGTGGTCAAGCATAACTAGATTAGGGTTTCGTCTACAATGCAAATAAAGCCTCTATTCTAGACAGGCTTTCTTCAAAAGGAATACCAAGGATTTTGTGAGAGATCAAGGCCTCTGTTTATAATGTGTCTTTCTCCATTGTTTCTTAATGAGTAAAAAGATGGCTAATTAAATCATCTAACTTAAGATTAGGATGCCCACTCACTTCTTTTATTTCACTATGACAATGAATATTTTCTCTTTTCACAAAAAAGAGCTCTTGAAGGTAGATTTCATCCTCTAATCAACAACCATATCTCTATCACTCAACCTCTCTTTCCAGATAATTTTTTGGTGGTTGGTAGGTTTAATTCTGAAATTTCTCAATCTCTAAATCAAACTCTCTATGTTGGAAGCTTATATGGCCATGTAAATTAATGCTAATAGAATGTCCAATTTCTGGAGGGACCTCTAGCTTGCTGCTTATTGCATGAGACTTCATATTTCCAATCTAGTTGACAATAGTTCTTCCTTTTCTCTTTTCCATGACCCCTGTGTGGAAAGCAAAACCTTATTTGAATGGTTGGGCCCAAGCTACGATAATGTTCTCAGGTTCTCAGTAAACTCTAAAATCAATTGCATTATCAAGGATGGTAATTGGATTTTGCTCACTTCTCTTGCCAATTCCTACGGGGATTGGTGACACAATGAAAAAAAATGTGGGATAATATAGTATTTTTTCTTTATGCGCTTTACCAAAAACTCATATTATAGTAGTCTTTGCCCAAACCCAGATTTTGTGACTTGTACAGTGTTTTCATTCCAGCCCCCACAGCTTTTCATGTAAACACCTCTCGATGGAAATTGGGCATTTCCCTCATTTTTTTCCCCAAGAAAAAAAAAATGCCCAAGCTACAACAATAACATCATCAAGCCTTTATCCCATCAAGCCTTTATCCCACTACGTGGGGTCATCAAGCCTTTATCCCACTACGTGGGGTCGCCTACACGAATATTTTTTCTCCATTGTCATTTGAAGAGTAAAATTTTATGTTAAATCTAGTAAAGAAAGGTCTTTTTAGGTCTACCTTTACCTTTCTTAACAAAAACCAAATCTAATAAATCTATTTTTCTAATTGGGTCATCAGGAGGCCGCCATTTATGTGACCAAATTATCTAAGGCGACTCTCTCTAATCTTAAGTTCCAAATGAGGTACTCCAACCTTTTCATGTATATGCTTATTTCGTATCTTGTCTCTAAGAGAAAAGCCACTCATCCACCTAAGCATCCTCATCTCTACAACACTTAACTTAATATTATGCTTCTCTTTTAATGACCTACATTCTGCACCATAAAGCATTATGGATCACACCACCATCTTATAGAATTTTCCCTCAAGTTTGTGGGGGCCTTCTCTATCACACAACAAGCCTAATGCATTCCTCCCCCTCAACCATCCAACCTGAATTTTGCTAATAATATTCACATCAATTTCACCATCACTTTGAACAATAGACCCAAGATAGCTAAAATGTGTACTCTATATTGACTTGATCGCCCAAAGTCAAAATCACTCCACAAGATCTATTACTACTAAAATTACACAACATATATTCAGTTTTAGATCTACTCAAGCGAAAACTTTTAGACTCTAAGATTAACCTCCATAAGTCAAGCTTAGCTTCAACTCCCTCTCTAGTCTTACCAACAAGAAGAATATCATCAGAAAAAGCATACAACAAGATGCCTCTTGCAAATCTCTAGTGAGAACATCCATGACTAAAGCAAAAAGATATGGGCTTAAAGCTGATCCTTGATGTCAGTAATCCAACAGAAATGGGAAAATACTTGGTCAAACCACCTAAAAAATGTCCAAAGCTAAACAAACACTAAAAGATGGGAGTTGAAATGTGATGACTAGTGCCAAAAACATTTCTCTTGTTTATGCACTCGTTTTGATGAGTGAAAAAGAAAATCAGTGCATTTGATGGAGCTTTACTAGAGTATATAAAGCTCCAAAGCAATCTTAATTTCTAATTACACCCAAGATAATGATGGAACTAGGATTTTTCAACCTCTACGCAATCAAATAGAACCCTCAATAAAACTAGAGAAAACGTGGGTGTTGAAGGATGGAAGAGGCTTTCAATAAAATGATAACATGCCAACAGAAACACGGTTAAATTGAATAAACCGCAGTTAAACAATAGTCAGCTTTCGAGCATGAGTTAAAATAAAATAAGAATAATAATTCAATAAAAAATTGATTAATAGGAAGGCAGAAGAGTAACCATCCTATCTGATGGTTACTACAATGCAACACCAACACAATTTATTCACGTGTTAAGGAAGATTTACGCACATTGAAAAGTTTCATAAAATTTGTACATGCAGAAAGCAATGGAGTTACAATGCAACACCAACACAATTCATTCACGTGTTAAGGAAGATTTACGCACATTGAAAATTTTCATACAATTTGTACATGCAGAAAGCAATGGAGCATACTTTCTAGTGTCTTGCATGAATTCAGTAGGAATTAGCTATAAATTAGCAATTATTTCTATTTAAAAAAAAGTAGTTAGCTAAAAAAGAAATTCTTACGCCTCGTTTGTTTGCATGAATTTATAAATCAATTTTTTTAAAACAAATAGATTTATTAAATCCATCAATATATTATGATGTAGGTAGACACCTAATATCAATATCCACAAACCTTCTCAAAATCCCTCAATTTACAACCAGCCAAATTAGACAATAAACGAGTTAAACTCTTGTAGTTGGTGCAAAAACATTGAAACAATCCGCCATGAATATGTCTACAGAAGGGACGCTTGGCTGGTGCAATAAGAGGCAGTTCAAAATGCACAATTTGCTTTTCCCAAGGTTTGATAGTGACAAAGCTAATGCATTTCAATTCCAAACTAAAACTAAAATAGACATTAACTTTTAGAGTGTACAATTTTATTGTTAAACTAAATAAAGAATACACAAAATTGCCTGATGTGAAAATACAGTGGAGCTCCCGTTAAGTCTTCAGGCCCTTTATTTGAAGTCTAGGGTTTAAAATTTTGAAACAGATTAAAAAACCTATCAGTTAAAACAAGAGCACGATGATCTATCATTTCAAATGAGGCAATAATTTAAAACAGAGAATGAAGCAGCAAATTTAAACCAGGAAAATTGGGAATTGGTTTGGACACAAGATCAAGTACTTGTGACAAAGTTTTTGTAAGTTATGAAGAAAATATTTCAGCCAGAAAATAATTGAATGGTTCCTTATAAAAAGAATGCCCAAAAGCCGCTGAAAAAAATATGAACATACCTACAGATATTGCAGTTGTGCTCCTTTGATATCTGATATTGTCATTAAAAAGAGTAAATTCAGAGTCAAATTTAAACTAAATTCCATACAAATATAATACTCAATAAAAACTTGCACAACTTACACATAAGAAAGTGAATGGACAAGCTCTTGAAGATCATCAGGACTGAAACCATTTTCATCTAACAAGACATGATAGTGAGTAGGCCTGCTAGTACCCTATAAAATAAATCAAGAAAAAAAAAACTATAAGCTACTTCAATAGGGAATGATTAAAGTGAAGATAACAATCAACTCCTAATAAATGCCAAAAATCAGATAATATTCAAACAAAGCAAATCAACAAGAAACATGATAAATATAGAGATTAAAGGAGCAAATATCCAATAAATCTTTAGCTCTTACAATCATTCCAGCATGTGAGCACATGTAGAAGTCATAATTTTTGGGATGACAAACTTGTTTGTCAACTACAGTCCCTACAGATTGTATGGTTCATTCTCATGTCAGAAGGAAAGAACAGTAAGACAGAATTGAGGAACTTTTCAGCTATTAATTTGATAAAAAAAAATAAAATAAGAATGTACCCGGTGGAACATTGTCAGGAGAGCCACCAGACTGAAAAAATTTTGTATGGTGGTTTTTCTGCGCAATCATCAACGTAAGCTTAGGGGACCACTGTTCATCAAGAAACTTGCAAGCCTACATTCATAAAAAGGACTTCAGCAAAAGTTATCCAAATAAACATTCTACATTAAATTTTTCATGGAACTATCACTTTTATCTATTGCTAACAGGGTCACCTCAATAATTTTATCCAACTCGATGTTCAAAACCTGATTGAATTGAGACTCACTCACTCCATCCCTAATCAATACACAATGCAATGTTAAACGTTAATGTGTAACAGAAAAAATAAAATAAAATAAAATAAAATAAAGGTTAATGTGTAACGGAAAGCATGAAAAAGAATTGTGACAAATAAAACCAAAATAAAAATTTCAAAATTGTGAGCAAAATAATTAGAAAAAGTTTATATTAAAATATTATTTTACCTGAAAATAATTATTTGATCTGGCTTTCTCTTCCCAGAACTTGTATAGAAATCAATAAGCAACTCCCTAGATTAAATAACACATCAATTCACAGGCTTTAACAGACAATAAAAATATAGACAAACCTTTAACCACAAGGAAAGGCATACAAGCTAGATCAAGACCAGCAGGCTAATAAAACATATCCTTTACTATCAAAATAAGAAAAAATGTATCACAGTGAGCCAACGATGACCAAAGATACTTGCCTAATTATACCATCATCATCTTCTGCTGTTGGTTTAAATAAGGAATCAATCATTTCAACCTTGGATGATTGCGTCCTTACTGATGCCCTATACTTCGAAATCAATGGCCACTGCCTTGAACTAACAACCTATCATGATGAGTGGCAAGAAAAGCAGATGTTGAACATCAGTGTGCAAGAACTAAGATCAAAAACATGTTAAGTAGAGCAAAAAATTTATAAAACATTATTTAAGATTACACTTTTCTAACTTTAAAATTTATCAACAATTTTCAAGAGCAAAAGTATAAGATTATCAGCAAAAATAACTTGAAAGCTGAATTAAGAAAATTACTGCAGCAATTGAAGGCACATCAGATCGTCCTGGAGAACCATGCGAGACATCCATTCCTAAAATAATTGTTGCAGCCCTTGAGATGATTGGAATAGCAGGAGTATTTTCTATTTGTAATTGTGAGTTTAAGCCACCAAGCTGAAAATTGAAAAATTAATCAAAATTGTTAAAAAAAAAAAGAAAAAGAATCATCCACACAATAACAGATAACTAAATTCAATGCAACTATCAAAAGGCCCACCTTTGCATTAATCTTTAACAGCACATTTGTCAAATATTGATCATTAACTCTAATGGGCGCAATGCATTGTGTTACAATTCCAAACTCTGCAAGGCATTTACGCTTCCACGGTCCTAACAATTAGATAGCATTCACCTATCAGATAGTTCCACAGTGGAAAACATCATATACCTTTAAAGGTTTGTGAGAACCGAACCATAGACGTCAGAATTTTTTCTCTCAGACAAAAGGCAAAGAAGAAACTTTGGCACACCAGGAAGTTTGGTTCTAATTTGTTCAAACATGTCATCCACTCTTGTAGGAGGAGGGGCCCTCCTCATGGAAGGACTCTCTTCAAAAACATCAAATGGCTGTTCAACAAGCTGCCAAAGCAATAGGAAAAAAAGGTATTTTGCAAATTGATGAATGCAAGAAATGATGCTTATGAAGCAAATCAACAATATGAATAGATGCGTGAAAATAACATTTAGAAAACATACAACTCCTTTCATATTTCCGCATTTGATAAGGTCCCTTATGAGATTGTTAATATCACAACGAGCAGAAAAGTTGACAACAGCCCATCGCTCTACTTTGGTAGGGGCCATTAATTTCTAGAGAAATAAATAAAACTGTGATAAAGAAACAAGATGGATTATAAAAAATAAGGAATTACAGTATAAAATATGCACTTAAGAAAACCTTATTATTGAAATTCCATCGACCATTTCTGGGTAGAAAATCTTCACCATTTCCAACCTTCAACTATAGAAAAGAAGAGCAAATTTATTTAAGAAGAGATGAATTGCATTTTAAGTTGAATGTGAACAAAAAAAAAATGCAGCAAATTATGATGAACGTGCAAACCTTGGGAGCCTGCAACACACGACCATCAACTTGGGTAAAGTTGGTGTTGATAGAAATTCCACATGCTTTCAACATAGGGTCAGCATCATAATTACTGTATTTCAAAGCCTATCAAGAAAAAATGTGTCAATGAATGCATATAACACACTAGAACTCGAAGTTGAGGCTCTTAGAAACCCACATTATTTAAAGATGACATTCTTTCTTGAGGCTTTTGCCTTGATTTTTCAACAAGAGCTGACCGCTGAATAACTGTCAATGCTTTTGTGTATCTTTGCAGAGAGACCAGATTGCAAAGCTAGTGCATAAAGTAAAATTTTTAATTCTATAGAAATGGTACGAACAGATTGTGTAATGTAAGGATTAGAAGATAAAATCATGCAAAAAATTAAGGACTAAAACAAAAAAAGTAGGAAAGAAACCGCAAGCACAGCGAGAAAATGAAAAAGACCTCAATGGGGAAATATGTTGGTCGTTTTGGCTTTCCAACATTAATGCAAGGGAGTCCACCAGAATAACTCAATGGTATCCCCCGATGTCTCACAAAATATTCATGTACAGTAATCTCCATGGCGTTGTCCCCATCACCTTTCTGCCTAAGAGTAAACCTGGGGTAACAAATTTTAATGATTAAATATTTGTTGAATACATCAATGAAACATCTAATGAATTACGAGTTAAAGACAAGAAAAGGAGAAATTGGGATTTATAAATCAGTTGTACCGCTAAAAAGTACTTTAAAAAAAGGAAAAAGTACTTTAAAAAAGGATAAAACATGGGGCATATCACAATTCAATTTTTTTGGAAAAAAGTACTATATATCATATCAACTTGTAGAAATATGTTGATTGTACAGAAAAATACCACATCAGAGAACATAAACATTAAAGGGTAGGATGCCCAATACAAATCATAGCATCATTAAAAAGGCCATCTTACATAAAGAAATAAGAAAACGTACATCTGCTGATCACATGGTAAATCGCTTAAACCAACTATCTTGTATTCTAAGTTTCCAACCTTCACTCGCAAATTTTTTAGCATCCGCTTTCCCTGCGTGAAAAAACAAGTTCACCAATTTGTGTACTTCATAATAACATGTGATTACCTCATGTATCAATATTAATAATACAAGTATAGCTACAAGAAAAAAATGATAATTATCTTCACTCACTTTTGCCCAGTCAATTTGAAATGGGTCCCTCACATTTTGATTCGCAATAAGGAAATCAACAACAGGCCCAGGTCTTACAATCATTGTAGTAGACACATCTGCAAAACAAATTTAAAAATAATATCATGACGATTTATTCTGCATAGCACCATCAGCAAGTTAAGAGCATACCAATATTTAGGGACAGGCCGCCTTGAACAGGGCGGAAACTTGAGTGAAACCCCCTGCATCCCATAACTCCACCACCCAAATCTGTATAATTGGATGGCTTATCGTGAAAAAATGATTGGCGTACAAGCAGGCAACCCCTACATAAAAATATTATTAACAAGATTACCCTACTATTTCAACAATTCCAAGATAATTCAAGGAAATAATGTGGGGAAATTGGTATGCATACTGCTTGGCAGCATGTTGTCGTAGAATAATATCAAGTACTCGTAATGCTTCCTGCGTGTTTTCAGTCTCTTGGCCCTTCAAGGCCAGCGCAATGGATTGCATTGGGATTTTAGCTGCAAAGCTAAGCTCAACTTTGATAGTCTTTGCATTATAGGAGCGCCTAGCACGCTTACGCTCTCCTTCACCAGGACTATCATTTCCACCAGGACTACCATTTCTGTACAATCAAATGTTGACAGAAAAAAATAGAGAAGAGAAGCATACAATTAGTTTAAACGTGAAAGGCATGACATGGGAAATCGTGCAAGTAAAATGAAACATTATAAATAAATTTACCTCTTTGAAGGCATATCATCAAGTATGACAGTGAACTCATTCTTGATCTGGGGAAGAGGGCCAATTGTGAACAAAGTCTTTTCGCCATCATAAGCTAGGCCCTTCTTTCCGAGCTCAGTATCATAAGTTTGTTGCATCTTATCTACCACCTTTCTACCAATTCCCTTCCCATCCACAGGTCTATCGTCTTCATATTTTAGGTTAACCTACAATCAATACAAAATAATCAATCCTATCATAGCATTTGAACAGATAAGAAAAATATAACAAAAATGCAGAGTTGGCAGCATACACTGTAGTGAAAGAAGAAATCATCAACATTCCGAGTAGAAACTTTGAAGTGATTTGTTAACAGAGATATGGGCTGGCCTTTCCGAGCAAAACCAGGCCGAGACATTGGTACCCTTTTCTTCTTCAAGGGCTCACTCGAAGGAATGTCATTCTGAACTTTAATAGGAGCTACATTGGATGGCACAACAGGAGGAGGAAGAGGGAGTTCATCCACCTCCTCTTTTGCAGAATTTTGATTTTCCATTTCTTAAACAAGTAATCTGACTAGAAGAAAGGTAGGGAGGTATAAGAAGTTTGCTTTATGCAAATAAGAGAGTTGTACATTGGTAGAAAGTAACAAAAAAGATAAGATGCACATTATCCAAAACTGGAACGAGTCCAGTTAAGTGAAATAGAATCATAAGAACCGTTTAACATGTCAAAGGAAACTAAAAAAACGGGTTATAACAACATTAAGTGACTCAATCCTCGTACATCAATAAACTACAACAAATCATTAAACTGTTTATTCATCTTGAGTCCATCAAATGAATATGAACAGTGAAAAACTTAAATTACACATACAAGTAAAAGAAACTTCTTATCTCAGATTTTGAGCTCTCGGTGTTTAAAATAAAATAGACACATTACCTAAAATCACCAAAAATATTCTTTATTATTATCAATATGACAGGAGTTCATCTGAAAAGAATCCACTTGTCATTCTACAACCATCTGTAGCATGGTGACCTTTAAAACATTTTGTACGTTGCAGCCAAAAAACAAAGTTAATATTGCATGCCTAGGAAACTGCAGTGTCTGCTGCTTAGAAACACCATAATGAAGTCCCCTTTGCACAAATGGAATCAAGATATATGAGTATGTTACAATTACATAGACTCCAATAAATACAACAGAAAAGCTGCATGGCCGAACCCTTGCCAAAAACAAATATAGAAAATAGGGCTGGTAACTAACAAATATAGGAATGTAGATTGATGGATGAGAACCAAAAACATGGCCTTAAGCAGATAATGTCGCATTCTCATTTAACAAGCTCGAGTACTAATTCAGGAATCTTAAGTAATAAATTAGTTAAACAAGCACCAACGACGAGATAAGCAGGCCACTAAGATTGTAATGGATTATGACTCTCTCCAACAACAATGAGGGATAAAGAAACCAAGAAATTTGCTGGTTTAGGGTTTGTTTGTCTCCCTGATTAAGATTCGAATCCCTTTTTAACATAGAAAATATTACTTAGAGATGAACAAAGGCATAATCTATAATCTATACTTCACTCTTTTTCTTCTGAACCCTAAAAAAATCGAAGGTAAGGAACTTCAATAATAAACATCGACTAAATATTCACAGAACGAAAAAAGAAGCGGCGATGCAGGCTTCATTACAACGAAAAAAAATACTGCCAAAATAGGCATTTCATGCATCAAGAGACGTCTATTTCAAAAGCCACCAAAACATAAAAAATGAAGTAACAAATCACACAAAAGTGCAGAACAAAATATAAATGTTTATGTATCAAGGAAGGCCTATTTCCTAAGCCACCAATAAGTAAATAATGCAGTAAAAAATCACTCAAAAGTGCATAAAAGAGCATTAAAGAGAACAAAAAAAGTATAACCCGAGGTAAAAAAAAGAAAAAAAGAACATAGCATGCACGAAAACAAAAATAAATCCATCATATCACACAGAAATATGACGAATATCTAAAATCAAACGCAAAGATATTATGATCCTCTCATCCTGCAGTACTGCTTCAAATTTACTTCACAGACCTCGAATAGAATCACTTGCACTCAAAATCAACACACCACACCACGAGCAAACAAAATGCCAAGAACCTCTCCTAAACCCTAAAAAATATCTACTACAAATCGAGATCGCACCCCAAAATAAGAAAAATACCTCTACAAGAAAACTTCTTCTCTTTTGGAAAATCTAGAAGAGAAGTAGAAAAACCCTAGAAAGCGTTTAAGAGGGCGCATGCAATCTCACCCAGAAGCGGAAATCAAACCCCTACTTCCCACAAGCTCTGCAACAATACAGCGGCCCACCTCACTCGCTCTTTTCTACTCCAAATCAAAGCGTAAGCGCTCATTATTTACCCTCATGCTTAACGTGAACCAGCTCGTTCGAAGCACTTCCACGCGACGCGTGGCATGGGACTCCATAAGGAAATACAGATCCACCGTCCACCTCAGCCGGTCAGAATCCAGTCTCCGGTTTCCTGGGTGATTTTGCGGCTGCACAAAAGGCAGTTAGTTTAGTCGCATGCGGGAAGTTCGAAGCAGCGCTTCCTTGCATACGGGCTACGTTAATTTCCAATTAAAACCCTTGTGTTTAGGCCCTGTGCGATTATAAGATAAAAATTATTAAAATTAATTTAAAACTAATATTTTATTCATTTTAAAGCAAATTTAATAATATCAAAATAATTTATTTTTTTCTTCTAATCTCCGCATGAGTCTTAGCGATTTCTACTGCGCGGGTAATTCCCCGGCCGCCGTTAGATGCGTCAAAGACGGCGTAATAAACGAAGCATACGCATTGAAGGGTAGTTTCGTAGTTTTAAATTTATTTTTTTCTTATTTGAGATTTTAAAGCCATATTTACGCTGCGATATGTTTGGGCAAACATCTTCGATTTTCGAATCTTTGCCCCGAAAGGGGCATTAGCTAATCCTGGTAAGACATGACGGAGAATAAGGAAAGCTGGGTATAATAGTAATTTCGATGTTCCTCGAAGAGGCTGGGCGACTCGGTTCGACCGTACGGACGTTCTTGGGTTGATAAATGCACTTTAGTAACGGCACGTTAACGCAGGACCAAAAATTGAAACCATGCTTCTTGAAGTGCCGTTTGGTGTGCAGTTGGTGAGATGTCCCTATAATAAATTAAGAATTGCCCGTATTAAAATTTTAAGATTTATTTTAAAATAAACGTAATCTTTTTATTTTTTTTAAATTGCAATCTATATTTTTAGTAAATATAATATATGTGTAATTGCCATATTTAATTCAATTTAATAACTGTTTAAGCACCTTAAAACTCTTCTATCTAATTTTGTTAGCTTTTTTTAGTTGATGAAAATTAAATTATAAAATATATATTTTCTAAATCAAATATAAATCATTGATCCTTTTACTATTAGAATATTTTATTTCAGTTTTTTTTAAAGGATGATAATATGTGTTATTAAATCATAAAGAAAATTCTCCTTTAAATTTTAAAAATAATAGAATTGTTTTATTTAAATAACGCTATTTATAAAATTTTAATCATTATTTTTAATATAAAATAAGGATTTTTTAATAATATTATACAAAAATATCAAATCATATTTATTAAATATATCTAAAATTTAATCAGATCTATTACCTTTCTTGATTAATAAAGATAAATAAAGAAATTTAATAATATTTATGTGTTGCTTATTGCTTAAAATTTTAAATAATTTTATTAATTTTTTATTTTTACCAGACAAAAATATATAAAATATTTTATTATTAAATAGGCCAAAAAAATATTTTATTATTAAATAGGTCAAAATCAAAATCAGTCTCTTTAAAATATTTTATAATTCATCATAAATTAATTATTATTTCTAATAAGTAAATAATATAAATAATCAAATTAACAAAATATTTCAAACTAATAAGTATTAGAAAAATTAAATTAATTCTAGCAAATTTTAACAATTTTTTGGACAGGATTTAATCATTAATGTGAAAATTTTTATATATTGTTTAATAAATATAATACATAATATTTTATAATTAAATTAATTATCTCATTTACTTACTTTAAAAACTCGGATATTAAATATGTAAACTACCTTATAAATTTATAATTTTTTGTAAATATCTCATGTATTACATGAGATTATTTCTTATGTAACGTCAATATATGGCGCCCATTGAACAATAATTATAACCTAAACCAATGCAATACATCAAAAGATAAGATCATCTTCATTGATACATCTCCCAAAAATGCACGTTGTATGAATCATGAGGAGATATTTGAATTAAAAATTTTCAAAATTAATTCAAATTCATCAGAGCGTTGATTTCAATAAGTTTATACTCAAAATAAACGCCTCAACGACACAATCCCATTTAACACAAGTGATTTAAACCAAATCTAAATGAGCTCAAATTAAGCACTTAAAATAAAATATAAAGTTTTGAGGCATTACTTTAAACACCAAAAGATATTCAAATATTGTGTGTTTATAGTAAGATCAAGTGGCTCAACAAGACAAATCCAACAAGCCTAAGTTCATTTCATTCAACATTATTGAGGAACTCAAATATCAAATATCAAGGTGACCAATATAGATCATTCGAATAAGTATTTTAGATTCTAGCTAAATTTATCAAAAATACTCACACAAAAATTATAAATAAAACATCATTTTCTACATGACGAGTCTTCAAAGTTGAGAGAGCTAGAAAATTGTGTTGTATTTTCCATCAATAGTCATTGATGACTACCATCAACGATCACTTCCACCATCACTTAATTTCTTCCATCCGACTATTGTCGTTTGACTGTTAACATATGACCCTTTGTTGGATTCCATATGTCCAATTTTGGACGCCCAATTTCTATAATTCCTAAGGAGAGTCAAATAGTTATTTTCAATTATAAAATCTTATCTTTTTTATTTGTGAAAAAAAGATGGATTATCATACCTACAATTATATAGTAGATTCTTGCAACAAGGCTAGGCCATGTGCTTGTTTCCTGTCTTGGTCTTTGCATGCAAAAAATATTGCTATCTTACAACTTAAACCTATGCATTTTAGATAATTGTATAAAATTAAGATAGTAAACATATGCTCTGTTATCACAAATTTTCTAACAAGTAATAGTTTGACGTCATATGTGAAAAACATTCTCAACATAGTATGAATATTCATTCAAAGGCAGACAATCAATCTCTCAAACAATAAATAATACAATATATAAGTGAAGTGCAATATCCTTAACTAATGTACCAAGTCTACCTACAACGACCTAAAGTAAATATAGTGAGAAGTATATGTTTATTTTTAAGTGTATACGAATTTCTGTGAATTTTATTTAAGTAAAAAAATTCCATAGTGGTGGGCCAAGCTTTTTGTTAGAAGAGCAAAATTTGAGTCATTGGGAGTGCTCCCGCATTGGACCTAGTGGTACTAGCTTCTCTAGATGTTTAGGAGCGCTAGGGCACAGTGAAAGTGGAGTTACAAGTAGATTAGGATGTATGCAATTTCTTCATCTATCTTGAATAGATATGAAATTACCTAGTGGATCTATAAGGTGGAAATGTGAATATTAAGTTATGTGCTACTTCATGTTATGTTATATGTAATGATGCTTATGTTTTGGTCATATCCAAGTGATGTTTATGATGTTACCATTATATGTGCATATCTGAAACATCTATTTAAAAATAGTATAACTTTGTTAAATATATTATGCAATAAAAATGTTAGGCTAATCCACTTTTAAATATGATATATTGTTCATATAGTGAAAACTTATATAAAAACTATTTCTTTCATAATTGAATTGAATTCATCAATTGTAAGTTATGGATGTCACAACCCAAATCGATCTGGACAAGTCCTATCTAGTTGAGTTGTGACAGACAAATCTCAATATCTAGTTTCGAAATGTTTCAGATTCACGTCAAATTTTTTTAAAATAAACTATACACTACATAGCTACTAAAACATTCAAATACTAAAAAAAAAAAAAACTCATCCACAAGATTTCTTTCATTTCATCAAACTATATCTACACTACATTATGTGGATACATCTTAATGCTACATAACTGAACTAAGTAATAAACTAGTCATGAATGTACAAAAGTCAAAAAAAAAACCTATAAACACATATTAGATCCTACACTGCTAATCAACAATCTCCTTCCCCTTCTCAGATATTGAAAACCAAAAGCAAAATCAGAGTGAGCTACAATAGTTCAGCAGGCCACACAATCCGATCTAAATTTCTAAATTCTTTTATTAAATATTTTGTTGAATATTTAAAAATAGTTAAATGCATTCTAATAAATCATTGTACTAAAAAATAATACGAGCATAACTGTTATCCAATTATTTAAATAACAATACAGACCAAATAAATAAATTGCAATGCATATCATAAAATAATTCATATCATATTTCCTAGACCCACACAGAATCTTAAAAAATTTTGGGCTCTTATGACTGCCTTTTATACTTATAATACCATAATATGCTTGAATGTACCAAAATATGACTTATAGCCACCAAAACATGTCTTATAAGCAAATGAATATTTTCTGACACAATCAAACTCTTGAAGGATTTTGATCCCTTATGGCTCCTAATATATATTACTTAATCATATATGCACATTTTTCATCATATTATAGCAGTCAAAATATAATTGAGTATTTGTCAAAATTGCACATATTTTTCTAATGATCGATAATAAAAAAAAAAAATCCTACTAAACAAATATGTATATTTTTAAAAATAACCAAACTATTACGGACTGTGTAAAATAATGTTTAAGATTTTTATCGTACTACAATACTATTTTTCAAAGTTTTGATAATTTTGTATTCAATTAAAAAACCCATAAATTTTAAAACCCCCAATCCAACACTACAGCGTTGCATGCTAAATCTCAAACTACTGTAGAACATAGCTAGGCTTTAATGCAGCAACATCATTTTCTAGCACCATTGTTATAACAACTCAACTCGGCCATGATAAGTCTGATAGTGGTGTAACATGCAAATCCCAAAATTTAATTTTAGAATTATTTCAGACTTTTTGCCAATTCATTAGAAATAAACTACATATTATATAACCTCAAATAATTTTGGGATTGGCTGTATTATTCCATGATTTAAATAATAAAACAAAATAGATAAATATATTAAATTTCATATTATATAACAGCTCATATCACATTTTTCAGACCCAGATAGAACCTCAAATAAGTTTGACACCTTAATTTGTGTGCTTTTAGTATCATAACATATCACATATTCTTGTCTCAAGTAAAATCTCA